AATAATAAAAAAAGAAAAAAAAAAGCCGGGAACGGCTTAGCCTAGCCGAGCCTACAGCCAATTGACTCAACTCGACTCGGCTCAACTTAAGTAGCTCTTTTATTTATGTATAGATATTGATATAGGATAGGATAAAAAAAAATTCCAGCTTAGCCGAGCCATATAGCCATTCGGCTCGACAGCTTATGAACAGTAAAAACAAAACTCACTCTTTTATTATATAGGTAGATAACACAAAAAAACTAAGAGGGAAAAAAATAGAAAAAAGACTTCACAGATAAAAAAAATGAAAAAAATTTTGTATTTTTTTTATTTCTTAGTTTTTTGTTTTTGTTTTTATTTTGGTATTGGTATTGTGTTTTTTATTTTTTTTGCTGACAATTAAAAATAAGGATGTTGTAGTCTTTTTAACAAAAATATTGACCTCTTTACAGTCAAATAAACCATAGTGGACGAAAAAAGTGATTTCACACAAAAGGTTGAAACAAGGTTAAGAATGTTAGGATTGATAAGATAAGTACCAATCCATTGAGAACCCCAAATGATAAGGGGGTATTGAAAATAACCTTTAATTAATATATTAAAAGTAATTTTTCTTCCAAAAAGACGAATTGCCTTTATTCTAAAAAATGTATTGAAAACAAAAATGTCACACTCCAACTAGCACCAGTTGTCGTTGATTTAGTTAAAGATTTCTTTTGATTTTTCTTTTTCTTTAAATTTTACTAATGAATTTAAAAATAATGTTTGAAAAATATGCATCATGTCAATGGAATGGAATTTTAATGAATTCATCAACCATTTCACTATATTATTCAATATTTTACATATATAAGCCTCCGTTTGGTTTTGCTAAAAATCGTATTTTTAGGAGATTTAGATAAAGTTAATGCATTGTAGTTCATAAATTATTAAAAATTGCGAATACCATGATATGTGTGATTGAAAAAGAGAAAAATGACGAACAAACAATGGTTCAGTTTCTCTTTAAGAGAGGAGGGGTAAAGTGATATGATCTGGAATAGAACAAAATTCGAAGAGAAATCTTTATTTTTGCGAGTTTCCCAATTTGACTAAAATACAATATTTTAATATCTTTTGTGATTTCTTTGAATTATGCACGAAATTATCTAGCTAAATTAGGGTTTAATATAAATAGCTTTTATTATTTTCATTGTAAAACAGTTCCAACTTTGATGAATGAATATTTTCTCTCCATTGTTCTTGATTGAACATTTATAGAACTTATCAAATATTTTCAATATTTGTGGTTTTCAAAATTTTAGAACTTATCAAATTATTAGACACCTTTTGTGGCGTTCGCAAATTGAGGTTCTTGTTTCCACATATCAACAGGTCTAACGTTTAATATACCTTAGGTTCTTGATTCGTGAGGCTCGGGTCAAGATTCTATCGTCTGCAACTTGAATTCTTGGTCGACAGCCTGTTTGGCATCTTTCTTTTACTCAACTACATAGAACCTTTCCCTTTGGCTGGTTAATGGATATCAGTAGGTGAGTTTTTCCTCTTTCTTTGAACACAAAACCAAAAGATTCGAGAATAATTATTTTTCTGTTTCGCCCTAAAATGCGTTTTTTCCGGGTAGCTTTCTCTTTGGTGGTAGACTTTTTCCACTTTTTGGCAGAAGTAATTTTTTTTTTTTTAAAAAAAATCCTCTTTATTTGCTGTTTTTGCTAGTTTCAGTAAACCACTGTCTAGAAAACCATATTTTCTGATGGCTTTTGTACATGGTAAAAACATGGTTAACGTATCGGTTTCCACAAACGTCGACAATTTGTTGGCCACAAAAAATGAGTCAACAGAACCATAACCAACATCCACGTGGTCCTTCCCTTGTTATGAAATGAATTGCACATATATAGAAGTGAAAATGGGCCAAGTGGACCTATAGGCCTAATTGGCCGAACCCAAACTTTATGGGTATAACAACGTTAATATTATATATAGAATAAGTAAGCTTAATCAGTTAGATGAGATTACATCCAAGAAAATAAGGCAAAAATAATTATGAATTAGATAATTCATTAAAACTAATTATAGTATGTTATTAGAAAAAGTTAAATATGCAATATTGTATTGTTTTGGTGAGAGTTTAAATTAGATGAAGTAATGTTGAAAATTGAAAATAAATAAATAAAAATAGAGATTGGACCTAATTATCATTGTATGTCACTAATATATTAAAATAGATGATGGTCAAATCACTGTTCATTTGTGCACCCTCCATTTCACACTAAAATTGGTTCGTCACTATTCATTATTTGGTTTTGCTACAGTCAAACAGTCTTCTTTGT